ATTTATGAATATTTATTCTATATTTGAGACCTTAGAATTCTTATAACAGTGGTACCTATTTTTCTAGGAAAAAGGCTAGCGGATAGCGTTGGATTTGCACTTTGCGCTCACAGCCTCTCCTATCTTACAGGGTTGTTGTGAACTCCTTTGGAGAATGATACAACATACATACGAGAAATAAATATATAGGTCGGCGGTTCGAATCCCCGCAGCGGGGTGAGCTCCCGTCTTTCGGTCCCAGCTCCTGCCCACCTAGCAGTTCGAAAGCACCCCTAAGTGCAAGTGGAAAAATAGGTACCGCTTTATAGCGGGAAGGTAAACGGCGTTTCCGTGTGCTGCGCTGGTGCTGGCTCGCCAGAGCAGCTTCGTCACGCTGGCCACGTGACCCGGAAGTGTCTCCGGACAGCGCTGGCCCACGGCCTCTTAAGTGAGATGGGCGCACAACCCTAGAGTTGGACACGACTGGCCCGTACGGGCAGGGGTACCTTTACCTTTAAACTGTCCGGAGACACTTCCGGGTCACGTGGCCAGCGTGACATCGCTGCTCTGGCAAGCCAGAGCTGCACACGGAAACGCCGTTTACCTTCCCGCTAGTAAGCGGTTCCTATTTATCTACTTGCACCCGGGAGTGCTTTCGAACTGCTAGGTTGGGCAGGCGCTGGGACCGAGCAACGGGAGCGCACCCCGCCGCGGGGATTCGAACCGCCGACCTTTCGATCAGCAAGCCCTAGGCGCTGAGGCTTTTACCCACAGCGCCACCCGCGTCCCCACAGCGCCACCCGCGTCCCTTTACCTTTAGATCCCATTGAAATCAGTGGGACTTCTGAGTAGACAATCAAAGGAGTGTGCTGAATATCATGGCTCCTATGAGATTTCAAACACTGTCAGGGATAGGTCAGATGGAGTATGCTATTTATGCATGTGGCAAATGAAAAAAATGCTGACCTCTACTGGAAAAAAACCAGAATTGCTTGTGCATTGCACCTACCAACATCTTATGGAAAAATAAGTACAGTCATACCTTGGGTTGCGAATGTGATCCGTGCGGGAGGCACATTTGCAACCTGCAGCGTTCGCAGCCTGAAGCACCGCGTCTGCGCACGCGCGTGACGCAAGCCAGCACTTCTGCGCATGTGCGTGATGTCATTTTGCGCTTCTGCGCATGCGCGAGCACCAAAACCCAGAAGTAACCTGTTCCGGTACTTCTGGGTTTGGCGTGGTCCGCAACCCGAAAACGCGCAACCTGCAGCGTTCGTAACCCGAGGTATGACTGTACTGGGAACTGTGTGTCAAGTATCCATATGAGCACACGGCTGTTCAGCAATAAGCTTGTTCTAAGGCAGGGAATGAGGCACCTGCTGCCCTCCAGTTGTTGCTG